CAGTATAGAAGTTGCTCCACCCAGTCACTGTTTTCTTCCCCTTCTTGGGCTCCATATTGACAGTAATGCCTGTTGTTAGGCAGAAGGAAGGACCATAGTCAAAGGCTCATGCAAACCATTAAGGCACTGGAGCACATCTATTGCTTACCAATTCTGATGCTCATATGTATGACATCCCAAGCTACAGTGATTATCCCAAGACAACCTAGGTTCCCTCTGGTCCTTGGATCTGAACCCCCTTTGCAAGTCTTTGGGTCTGTTCCTCACTGGAAAGCACTGGCAGTCGCAAGAACCTTGGACAGAAGGAGGCACAGGCCATAGCTAAGAGCTATATGGATGCTCTCCCCACCCCTTATCTGCCAAAATGGTTACTTGCAGAGACAACAGCATAGAGCTAACCCTGTGGGTCTGCACATTGGGCTTTTCTTTATCAGAGGTGGACTTCTGCAGGCCAAGTTCCTGAATTCTGCTAACTCAATGCTAAGGAATGAGGCACATATTCATGGACACAAAGAAAGCGTGCCCTTCCCCTCCCTGAAATCTCAAGACACTCTGATGAGTTGATCCCATCAAAAGTCAGTCATTTTAGAAACTGATCAGGAAATGTCTGTTGGACATTCCTTCCTCTAATAGCAGTGGCACTTCTCGCTAGAAAAAACAAGTTTTGCCCCAGGATTTGCAATAAAGTTAAGCAACTCTGCCAAAAAGACTCAGGAATTACTGTGCTAGATACAATTTAGTTTATAATAATTTTTGTTTAGCAATTTGTAGCTTACTTCTAAGATGACTATTACAATGCCTGCCCCTTGTTGTTCACAACAAGCCCACATTATACTCTACTCCTTGAGTGTGATTTGCTTCTCATAGAATCTGGCAAAGTTAAAGGAATTTTGCAGATGTAATTAAGATGCTAAATTAGTTGATTTTTAATTAGATCAAAGAGAGAATATCCTGGATCTAAGCAGGCCTGACTTAGTCCAATGAAAACCTTTAAAATGTAACTAGCACTCCCTGTAGTTAAAGGTCTTTTCATTGAACTGACAAATTAAGAAGTAGGGCTGAGGAAGCCTACCTGGCAAACATCTGATGGTTTCCTGGAACTGTGGTGACATCCAGAACTTAAGAAAAGCTTCCAGTTGACAGCTAAGAAAATGTTGGGCACATCAGACACACAACCACAAGGAAAGGAATTCTGCTAACAACCAAATAAGCAGCTAATAAATGCGTAATGTCTTCAGTCACTAATTGTAGTAATTTATTATACAAAAATAGGAAACACAGGAATATGTTTTGTTTCTAACATCTTTATGCATATTTTACATTCTAGGTTCTCATTTTCCATCGAAGTCCTATTCCAAGGATTCCTTTTAAAAGTTTAAAGAAATCTGTATCAGAACTATGCATCAGAAAGAATACTTTAATCAAAAGCCTTGAGAAGTTCCTAGAAATATATAAAGGTTACAAACACAGCTGATGATAGAATTCTTAAGAAGAAAGCTTTTGTTGAAGATTTGTTTTGATAAACTGTATGGGTAAATTGGATGCTTGGAGCATGGATTAGCCACAAAATAAAATGTAATTTTTTCTGCATTTCAGGAATGGAGAGGCATAATAGAGAATCATGACGATAAGTGGGTGAGAAAGAAGGGTGAGAATATTGTCATAGTCAGAATAAAACCCTAGTGATGTCCACATCTTAATCCCTCATGCTTGTGAACGTGGAACCTTACATGTGCATGTGATGAAATCATGGATCCTGAAATCTAGGGTTTTCCAGATGGGCCCAGAGTAATCACGAGAATCCTCATCAGTGAAAGAAGGGGCAGGAGACTCAGACACAAACAGGTATTTGAAAATGATAGCTAGCTATGGTGGCACGTGCCTGTAATGCCAGCACTTAGGAGGCTGAGGCAGGAGACGACCACTGTAAGTTCGAGGCCAGCCTGAGCTACACAGTGAGATCCTGTCAGCAATAACAACAAAAACATGTTGCTGGCTTTGAAGATGGAGCAAAGCCCATAAGCTAAGGGACAGAGTGGCCTCTGGAGCTGGAAAGGGCAAAGAAATGCACTCTCCCTGGAGCTTCCAGAAATATGACAGTCCTGCCAACCCCTTCCTTTTAGCCAAGTGAAACTCATGTCAAACTTCTGAACTGAAGACAACAAATTGGTGTGGTTCTACCCCGCCAAGCTGGGGCAACCGACTATGGTATCAACTGGAAATGAGACACTACCCACTAGCATATTTAAATGCTCAAAGTCCAGTGAGATTTTTGAGAAGAAATTGTGAAGAGGAGCCTCGTTCCACGTGTAGGTCAGGCAGAGTAGGTGAATAGGAACCAACTCAGGACGGGGGATGATCCCTCAATGGGCCTAACTCCTGGGAAGCAGAAACTAGACCCTAAAGTTAAACATGAGAATGAAACACACCTGTCTCTGCCTCTCGTGGCATTTTCAGAAATCTTGCAGAACATCCGTAGGTACTCCGCCCATTTGGAATGAAGAATTAAACCAGTTTTATCCAAATCATGTGTCTTGGGCCCAGACTGAGAAGGATGCTGAAATGTACCCATCAGGGTTTATTATTATTATTAGTTGATGCATTTTTAAAAAATTTTAATAGTACATTTGTAGCACACAATGGATACATTCCTTGGGGAAACTAGTACACATACATAGCACATTGCAATTTTCCCCTCTTTCTCTCTACCCACCCTTTTAAAAAGTTGTTTTGTTTTGTTGCCATACGGATTAAAACCAGACTAATATGCCAAGAAAACATAAAAAACCACATGACAATATACTAAATCAAGATACACTTTTAGATACATTATCCATAACAGATTACAATATTTTTCTTTCTTATTTCTATTGTTGGTCTTTTTATTTTTCACTTTATATGTTGACCTCATATAAAAGAAATTATGCAATATTTGAGCTTGGGTATCTGATTTATGTCACTTAACATGATCTCAAAGTGCATCCATTTTCTTACAAATGACTTACTTTGCTTCATAGCAGAGTACTACTCCAATGTGCATAAATACCTCATTTCCCTTATCCAGTCATCTGTTGATGGACATATAAACAACTTCCAAGATTTAATTATTATGAATTGTGCTGCTATAAACATGGGTGTTTATACATTGCAATGAGATGTCTTTAACTCTTTCAAGAAGATACCTTACAGGGAAATACTTAGGTCAAATGGGTTTTCTAGTTTTTGTTTTTCTTTCTTTCTTTTTTTTTTTTTTTTTTTTTTTTTTTGAGGAATCTCTATACTGATTTCCACAGTTGACGTACCAGTTTACACTCCTACCAACACCGAAGTGTTCCCTTTTCGCAACAGCCTCTCCAGCCTTTGTTATTGGTTGATTTCTTGTTGACAGTCATTCTTTCTAGAGTGAGATGGAATCTGTGTTGTTTTAATTTACATTTTTCAAGTGGCCAGAAATGTTGAATACTGTTTCATTTATTCACTGGCCATTCACATTTCTTCATCTGAGAAGTTATTCATTTCAGATGTCTATTTTTTTGGAGTCTTTAAATTTGACATATGTGTCAGATTTTGATTCAACACATATATTACAGAATTTTAAGGGAATATATTTTTTTTTCCTAATGAAATTTTGTTTGCAAATAAGTACATGGCTTAAATCTAAAATGTTCTCCCAAGGTCTCATGTGTCCAGGTGTGAGGCTTTTGGACAGCAGCTGGATGATTCAGGCCCTCATCCATGGATCATTTCATGTCTTTAGAGCTGAATGGCCTATTAGGACATGAGGGCCAGGTAGAGGAAGCTGGTCATTAGGAGTGTGACTTTAAAGATCCCCCCACCTCAGCTTCCTGGTTGCCCGAGATGAGCAGCTATCCTCCACCACAACCATGCACCACTGTTCCTGCCTTGGACCAGCTGACCACAGACTAAAACCTCTGAAACAATAAGCCGATAAGCCGAAGTAAAGCTTTTCTTCTTTAAATTGTGTATGTCAGGAATTTTGTCCCAGGACAAAAATGTGACTAGTACAAATATACTCCACATGTTTAAATATAAACAAAAAGAAGACTTGAAAAGGCTCATTCTCACTCTGTCCATCTATTTATAGCCATTTTCATTATTATCCTAGCGTTTATGTAAAATGGTATATATTTTCATCAACCTTTTCTTACACAAAAGATAGCATGCCCTATATGCTATTACATATCTTACTTTTCTCATAAAAAGTATGTCTTAGAGACCTCTCCGTATCAGCACAGAGGACGCAGTGGCCTGGGGTCTCATTTCAAGGATAAGAAACCCAAGAGTCAAGCAGCTGTGTCAGCCCAGTGATAGACCATGTTAGAAAGAAGCCAGCTGTATCCCCACCAAGTGGGAAACAAAGGATTGAATGGGTAGGGAAACTAGTCTGAGGCTAGACTTACCTGTGACAGCCAGGCTGTTCTCCACATAGCATGCCAAGGATTTGTGTGCTTTCTGTGGGTTAAGTGCATCTCCTGGAAAGTAACTGTGTGGAAGAAGCCATCTCTTCTTTCTCTCTGTCTCTCTCTGTGTCTCTGTCTCTGTCTCTGTCTCTGTCTCTGGGAACTGGACAGAGGGTCTCACATATGCTAGGCAGCACTAGCACTCTACCACTGAACTACGCACTACATCATCAGCCCTTTTTATCTTGAAACAGACTCACAAAGTTGCCCAGGCTGGTCTCAAAACTTTGGCTTCCCCTGCCTCCATCTCCCGAGTAGCCAGGATGACCAGCATGCATCACCACACTTGGTTAGAGGAACCAAAGCATGGCAGATGACCAAAGCACAAGAGCTCCCAACACCATCAGTAAGAGGCTTGACAAACGCTATCAGGACCTGAGGTAGTGACTCAAGAGCTCAGGGTAACAAAATATGAAACAAGCAGGTTTGCACAATGAAATATATTTATAGATTGTGAGCTGAAACTATAATACTCTAGACAGGCACACCAAGGACAATTAAATGCAAACACATACCAAGTTCTGGCATAGGCGTGCTCTTTATTTAACACATCTCCCCCAAAGAGAAAATGAGGAGCTTGATGAAATATTCTCTGGTTTATGTACAATAAATACCTATACATAAATAAATATGTAATAAAAGCTGAGACTACTCTGAGAATTAACATAAAAAGAGTAGCAACTTACATTTAGCCAGTATTTTAAAACTATTTTAAAGTTACAGCAGGTGGTATTGGCACAGAAATAGATCAGTAGAAAAAGAAAAAGCTCAGAAACAGATTTATGTATGTGATTCATTACATGATCAAATCATTAGGGGGAAATAATCAATGAATATTAATACGACAACTAATTAAACCATTTAACAATAAAAAGACTCCTCATTCCTCATCCCCAGTGAACTCACGCCCATGCTAAAATAAATTTCAGATAGATCAAAAGTTTAAATGTTTTTTTAAAAAACAAACAAAAAAACCTATTTGTTACCTTGACATTGGAAGGACTTTCAAAGCTTTTTTTTTTTTTTTAACTTTTAACACCAGAAGGAAAATACTTAAGGAAAGACTGATAAATTTGTCCATATAAATTTTAAAATCCTATGTGGCAATATATAACAAAAACAAGGTTTTAAAAAAGCAAAGTTATCCTTTCCAAAACTGATGAACTACAAAAACTGTTTACAAAACATATGGCAGATAATTAAAATTACAACGATATAAGGAGCTTTTTCAAATCAATAAAAGAAAAACAGGCCAACTACAGTACTGATTTTTTTAAAGGCCATTCACAAAGACAGAGTTATGAATGGCCAATCAGCATACAAAATTGCCAGAGAAAAGCAAACAAAATATTAAAACATCATTTTTCCCCTACCAGATAAATCAAGATGAAGAACATCAGCAATGCCCAGTGGTACTGAAGCTTTCCTTTGCTGCAAATACAAAGAAGTTTCTCTGGGAAACTTCTTCAGCAACATGTAACATGGCATAAAGTACATACAGTTTTCATTCCAGCAACTTCACTTCTAGGAATGTAACCTCAGTGGTGACTGCTCACATTCCCACAGACTCGTATAAGGATAGTGAACATCTGGTAACACTCTGCATGTGACTAAATCAATCATCACACACATTTGTAATGCAGTCATCACTGACAAGTAACATACATCCAGGAAATGTTGATGAGTAAAAACCTGTTACAAAATGACACAAATTTGATTCCATTTGGCACTTTTTTTTTTTTTTTTTTTTTTTTGGTGCCCAAAAAGTATGGCGAGGGTGATACCTACCATGTCCATCCATGCACTGGGTCTCTCCACAACAAGAGTATGCATTGCTTTATAAATTGATTTGCTTCACTGTATCACCAGCAGCCCACAGACTAGACAGCCCACAGGCCACAATGACCTTCCCTTCTAGAAGCAGGCACTTGGTTTTAATCAAGGCAAAAGGTCCTTAAATTTTATTAGGTTGACCACCATTACCAGTTGTTTTCTCTTGAAAAAATAGGCTACAAAATCAGTAGGTCAAGAAAATCAGAATGTGGTGCTAGCAATCAAAAAGGAGCATGAGAATTCTTTTTCACATCCTTACAACTTAAATGTTAACTTTATTCCAAGCTAATGTGGAATTTCAAAGTAATCACTGTTGCTCCGGTTTTAAGTGTTCATCTCCAATACCAGAAGACAAACTATTACCTATTTTTCCTCATGAACCTGCATCCAATTGCTTTGCCATTTGTGGCCCCTCATAGAAGTGATGGGTGAGGTAGCTTACAGGGAAAACACAGATATATAAGACCCACATGCTTTAAGAAAAGTAACACTTTAAAATATACAGAAAGCTGTTAGACATGAACCAAAAACGCTGTCCAAAAATTAGCTCAGCAGCTAGTTCAGGGGCTAGCAAATGCCAAGAAAGAAAACTAGACTTGCTGACCGAACACTTGGCCCATAAGGCACAGATGTGTCTGGACCCATGCCATTGTTCTAAAAAGAAACTCACCATCCTGACTACCAGACGTCCCTGTTCAGGGATGTAATGAAAAAAAAAATTGCATGTGGATGTGTCTGTTGTACAGCTGAGGACATGAACAGAAACTACACATGCGTACACACACACACCACTAGAAAATATGTGTCCATGTTTGAGAAGCCCTTCAGTTTTGTTTTCTCATCTAGAAGGGAGCTCAGCCCAGAACTAAGTGCTCACTTTTATACACTGGTCCCAAGGCAGTTCATGGGGAGAAGAGCCTTCCTCTAGCCTCACCGTGGGACTGAGGTTTTTTAGTGAGCCTCACGAGCTGGCTCTGTGACTTAGTCTACAGGGCACTACCTGGAAGATGGACCCTACGTTCTCCCAGGAAAACTGACCACAATTCCTGAAGTCACCCTCTTTTCCCCTTTAGCTAGGAATTCACGCAGAAGAGGGGAAATCTGTATTATGGTAAAGCTACCAGGCAAATTTAGAAAAATTAAAGCTGTCATCATGTTTATGAGAAAACTATCAGAAAAGAAGTAGAAGAAAATTAAGCATCTTTTTCACAAGTGCTCAGCATCTGCATTAACACTGAAAAACTAAAAAAAAAAAAAAAAAACACTGAGAAAACTCTGAATTATAATTTAGAACATTCAGAAGAAATGACAAAGCCCACATTTTTGCTATTTTAGTAATTGTACATGAACTGTTTTTATATTTGTGCACTGTACCCAGAAGCTACTTTATGTAATATTTAGTTATTTTAACCCAAACTTTTTATAATAAACAAGGAAGGTTTCTTTCTGGGACAATTATGTTAAATCCCCATCTAGCCAACTGTTATTTTGGGGGGCAGCTGTAGCCCCAAGTGGGTAACTGCACCAGTTAATTCCAGAGTGGGAAATTAGGGAGATACAAAAACAGAGAGTGTTTACAGAACTGGCAACAAAATGGGGAGAGGGCGGATTTTCTCTTTTGTTACAGATGCCCTGGATTCCTTTTTCATCCAAGGATCTGCTACACTATAATAATCTGTAGTGATTCCAAATTGAGTCCAAGAGCTGTGAAAAAAAACTGTGTGATTTTGATGACTGCAGCAAGTAATATTAAAAAGCAGGAAGCTGTGTGTATCAGTCCATTGAGAGCCCTACTGGACAAGTCACCTAAGATGAGAGCAAGAAAGGCTTCAAATGTTGATCCTAAATTACAGTCTAGGGTAGTGCCTCAGGGAACAGGGGACAGCTTCTCCTAGAGCTGCCTAATCCTGGTGGGGGCCAGGGCCGGCAGCTGACACTGAATATACAAAGCCAAGAAATCATCGCCAATTCTCTTTCCCAATTGAACACCCCACCCCACCCCACCCCATCAAGCTGGTATGGAACAGCTTTATGGACAGTTTCCACCTGCTCCTGTCTTATCTTCATCTGCCCACAAGCCCAGGTGGCATCCTCTATTTTCGGTTGCTATAACAATACCTGGATGATTTATAGTAAAACGAAGAGGTTTACTTTGGCTCACAGTTCTGTAGACTGGGAAGTCCAAGGGTGTGGTCGGACATCTGTTCAGCTTCAGATAAGGGCCTCACACCATTTCAAACTCAGTCACACTCAGGAAAGGCATTGATCTGTCCTGATAACCTAATCACCTCCTCAAGGCCCTACCTCCCCAACAGCAGCACAAATTATAGTTGAAATTCAGTGTGAGGTTTGGTGGAGACAGATCATATCCAAACCACAGCACTAGACCACTCAGCCTCCTCTTACTCCTCCTCCAACATCCAACAGTGGAAAACACACAGAACAGCTTTCTACTTTTTAAGATTTTTAGGGGCAACAATTCAGGGCCACATTCATATATGCTCCACCCTCACCTTGTGCACTGTAACCACCCCTCTCTTTCTTCCTACACACTTAGCCCTATCCTAGAGAATAAAAAAGAAGGAAAGAAGCCATCAACTTCTTTTGGTTTCCCTTCCTTTGTTCCTGAGCGTTGGAGTTGGGCTGATTTGTCCTTTTCAATGACTCCCTTCATGAAGTTAAATTCTAAACAAAGTCCATCTTACTGCTTTCTACAGAAGAACAGGTCCTGAAGAATAGGTTCTAATTAGCAGAGATGCTATAAAGGAAGACGCAGAAACACTTGTGTATCTGGTGTCTAGAGAAGCTGATTCTCAGGCATCACTCACACCAGACTCTTGTGATCTGTAGCCTATGGTCAATATGACACTGGACATCAAAGGTCTCAAGTTCAGAACTGGTCCTGAAGCAGGAAAAAGGTCAATAATTCCTGAGTTTCTCCTTTGGGGGTCTCCACGGAGACAGCTACCATGTTGAATCAAGGAACGAGCCCCGGCTGGGGATGGAGAAAATTCCACACACCCTCAGGATGGACGTACACAGGGCCTTTGTGCAGGCACCTGAGAAGCTGCCAGAACATCTGCTCAATAGCAGGGTCACTTTGCCATGCAGCACCATCTGCAATCTAGACATGGAGAGAGAAAGAGAAGAGACACATCAGGAACACGTTTTGCTCTTCCCACTGTGCTCTCTAAGGGTAGCTCAGGGGAGGCTCGAGTGTAGTGAGAGAAGGCAGCACGAGACCAGCCACCCCGCTATGCAACCAGGGCAGCTATGCCTATCCCTCCTCTTATCTTGAGTCAGGAGTGCCTCTCTCTTCCTACCCTGAGCTGCAGGGCCAGCCAGGCCTGTTACCTGCTGACCGCTCTGCTGAGCCAAGACAGTCTGCCCTCCCACCCTCTCTGACCTTCCTCATGCCCAGCTGTTCAGTGACTCCCACTTCATCCTCCCCTCTATACCACTTGTTTCTCAAAGACAACAGTCTCACATACCACACTGCTAGGAAGGAGAGGAATGCCAGAGCCATCACCAAAGCTATGGAGCCCAGGCCAACACCCACCATCTGCTCCAGCGTGAGAGATGAACCTGTGGGATGAAACCACACACTGAGCCCACAGTGCATCGTATCACGGCCCTCCCAGAAGGCACAGGCACTCCATCCACTTTACCCCAGAGCTGGGGCCCATTTAACAAGCAATCCCAAGAATGCCCCACAGTTGCTTTGCGGCCCAAGTTGGTCCTGACAATATGGAGCTCCAGGAAACAGTATTTCTGAAAGAGAAGGTAAAACTTCAAAGTTCCAAGGGATGAGCAAACAAACTGTATATTGTTTTGTGTTGATCCTTTCTCCATGTCAATTTCCTATCACTTACACTTTACTGGAAGTTTTTCTTTGCCTGGAGAAAGAAGTCATTTTGTTATCATTTGAATTTTGATTCAAAAAAAATTTCAGCTAGCTCCAGTGGTCAAGTATGGTAAACAAATATTTTCTGTTGAACTGAGTCACCTGTCATTTTCTCCTTATCTCAACAAAGGACAGTACCACTCTGCTCAGCAGGCTGTTATGTAGATAAAGGAGGAAAACTGATGAAAAAGCATTCTGAAAGGTGTATATTCTATTTGGAGAACATCGCATAGCATCTCCAGGGAGATCCCCGATTATAAACCTGAAAATGTCCACATTTGAGTTGCACATTTGGACCAAGTGACTGAATCTGAATCAGCTTATATGCTAGACTGTGGCAGAGGCTCTGTCTTGATTTGCAAGTGCTTAGTAACACTTTAAGCACCTCACAAATGTTAACTCTTTTAGTCTCTTCCACCTTTTACACTGAGTACTATTACTAATCCTTTTTTACAAAGGGAAAACCAAGGCATAAAGTGGCTAATCCAATTGTAGTGATCCAATCTCTACAGCTAGGCCCACAGCAGTTTCTCCTGACACTCCTCCGCACCAAGAGTAGCCACAAGTCATGCCCCAATCAAAAGAGCAAAGGCAGATCCCAGTGCCTCAAAAGCGCCACCAAGAGACAGACAATGTGGATTACGTTGCTTAACTGCTTTCAGTATTCAGAAGGGCCTGGATTCTTTAAGAAGATAGATTATAAAATAGAAGGAATGGCAGTGATTAAATTAGAAGTTAGTTTCATATATATTAAAGATACATAATACACACACAAATACACATGAGGGAAATGACTTGAATTACTAAATATTAAGACATTGTGGTATCAACACTGGAGTGAATATTCTGAATCAAATATAGAACCTAGAAACAAAGCCAGCTATATCTTATCATTTCAAAACTCAAACATTTGAGTCAGGTTGTTCATGTCTATTTGAACAACACCTGTTCATAACTGTGACTTTCAGCAAGTTATTTTGTCATTGATGCCTCAGTTTCTGCATTTAGGGATACTATAATGACATGAAAATGATGGCAACAGTACCTACTTGTGTTGATTACTTTTCTCTCATTGCTGGGACAAAAAAACCTCACACTCAAAATTAAGGAAGCAAAGGTTTATTTAGCTCACAGTTTGTGGAGGTTTCATTGCATAATCAGCTGGCTTCAACGTAGGGTAGCACGACAACAGGCAAGTGTTCATGGTGGTAGGAAATAGCAAAAGCAACAAGAGCAAAAGTGGAGGAGCACACAGAGAAGATTCTTTCTGTCCTTTATATTGTATGTAGGCCACCCCCCACTGAGCGCGGCACTCACACCGTTAGTGCCAGCATTGGACCATGAATCAATCACAAACTCTAAAAGTCTGCTCCAATGACTATATGAGGCTTTGAGGGACATCTAGACACAAACCATAACACTACTTTACATGGTTGTCGTGACAAATTAACGAGTTAATATATGTTAAAACAGTAGCTGACACAGAGTAAGAAATAAGCAAATGTTAGTTATTTTAATTATTGTTATTAAGCTACTCTTTCAAATCACTCTGTGGAGAAAACTAATCACTTAGAATAGTTCTGATCACTAGAGCTTATATACCAAATAAAATCCAAATGAATCAAACACTTAAACTGAAACTCAAAAGAATTTGAAAATGTTAGTAAATCTGTAATTTAAAGTAAGAATTTTCCAAAGCTATTTATTAACGTAGAAGTCTTAAGAGAATAAGAGATTTGACTATATTAAAAAGAATATACCTCACACATCAAAAACTACCAGAAGTAAGGTTAAAAAGTAAATGGAAAACCAAGTAAAATATCTGGTATAATAAGCAAAGGGTTAACATACAGACAGCATTTCAAATTAATAAGGAAAAAACAAATACCTCAAAAGCAAAATGATAAATTATGTGCAACGAATATGGAAAATTGACAAATCTTTGATTAAGTACTTTTTTTTTTTGCACCAGGGATCACACTTACGACCTCACATTTGACAAGCAGGCACTTACACCATTAAGCTAAACCCCTGGCATGATTAAATACTCTTACAATAATGAAAATATAAATCAAAACACTTAAGATACCATTTTCATATGCCAAAATAGCTAGGTTTTTACGTTTTAAAAGAAAAGTCAGCATTGGAGTTGGGGGGAAAGGGCTAGTACTTTCATCCTGCCTGTTTCATTCATCTACCTGGTATTCCTTTCAGCTTTTGTCACCATTTTTCCTTTTATACGCTCATGATCTATGTTTTTAATCTTTGATTAATAAAAACACTGAACTGAAGATGACTATGGACAGACATTTGCACTGTGCACACCCTATTTTGTATCATTCATGAGTTGACATCAGCTTTACATAGTCAGCCAGCCTGTGTCTAAGGCTACACATGGCCATCACATCCCCACATTGTCCACTGGTCAAAATGCATTATCCCTGCCATATTTCCCTGACCGGTCGGTGACACTGTGCAAGAAGAAAAGGACAGAAACTGCCTAATAGGCTCTCCACAACCCCGTGCTGACTTGTGTGAACTGCTCCTGCTTCTTCCAGACAGACAGGTCTCTCCACTTCCACGTGTCTCAGAGACCACTTACAAATGGTTTATCTAGCCCTTCCTAAAACGAGTTTTAGCCAGGTAGGAAGACTTGAACCCACATAGATTAGTTAGCTCTCTGCTTGCTTTCAAATATCTCCTCACAAGCAATGAGGCAAAAGCAAAGCAGAAGTCGAGGAACCTGAATTTCTCTTAGCTTCCCGCCCCCAGGACCTACCCTAAGCCATGGACACAACCATTCCTTATTCTAAACATAAGTACTGACAAATGATCCTTATTTGTTTTGCATAACGCTGTTTAGACTTTGGCTATGGGCATGATTCTGCTGGTAGAACAGTTCTTAGTTGTGTATCTTTTTTATGCACTGTGAAAAACTACCAGAGCACTCATGAGTACAGCCACATGGGCTTCTTTGGGAACATCGTGCGTGAATTCTTACTAAGAAAATTTACAAGTGGCCAATTCGAATGGTGTTTTGTTGGGTTTTTTTTTTGTAGCCTCACCATCCTCTGTTTCTATTTTATTTCATTTTATTTTATTTTGTCTTTTTGAGACAGAGTCTCACTATGCCATTCAAGCTGGCCTTGAGCTCACTTTGTAGCCCAGGCTGGTCTTGAACTTGCATCGATGCTCCTGCCTTAGTCCCCAAAGTGCTGGGACTACAGGAGTGTTCCATTATACCCCTTGGCTGTTTCCATGGTCTCATGTGAAGGAATCTAGCTTATTTTTCTTCTGAATCACCTGCAAAATATTCATTTAGAAACTCTAGTGAATGACACTAGTGCTCAGGAGTTTGGGGGTTCCTTCTGGCCCTTTCACTAATGGAGATATCACAGGTGCTGAAGAGGAAGTTAGAAAGACTCTCCCCCTACACTCAGATTTGTAACATCTTGAAGAATTTCTTACGGGTTTAAACATTTTTTTCCATAAATATAGACAGGCATAGTCATTTTCAGAAAGCAATAATTCTATCCACCAAATGGTATAAATAGTGCCGTGACTTACATGGAGCTGGCAAGAGAATATTCCTACATCAAATCCATCTCATCTTGTGGTTCTGATCTCCCATGTCCCTGACCTCCAAACCCAGGTTCATGTGATTGGGTCAGGCCCAATGAAGTAATTGCCTCTTTGGGGACTTTCATTCCATCTTTAAAATCCCTTCAAAGCAATAGTATTTGAATGAATAGGCAAGAGAAGGCAAGTAGATATCAGGCACCTGGAATTTGGAGGTGGTCCCTTACAATTCTGCCTGTCACAACTGTGAAGGTTTAAAATGAAGTGTGTGTGTATCTACATATACAAAGTCACCCCTCCATATCCATGGGAGATTGGTTCTGAGCCCCTCTGAGGATACCAAAATCTGCACATACTCAAGTCTTTTCTATAAAATGGTGTCACATTTGCATATATCCTATCCATATCCTCCCATAACCTTTAAATCATCTCCACATTATTTATACCATCTAATACACTGTTGATGCCATGCAAATAGTATTGTTTAGCGAATAATGGCAAGAAAAACTGTCTGTATATGTTCAATACATATGTAATTCCTTTTTCCCTCAGTTCTGGGGATCAAACCCAGGGTTTCATGCCTCTACCACTTTACATCCTCAGCTCCAAACACAATTTTTTCTCAAATATTTTTGGTCTATAGGTGGTTGAGTCATTAATGCAGAACCCATAGGATCCACAACGCAAATCTTCTCAGGCTTATTCAGTTTGACAAATATTGCACCTACTGTTCTTTATTTCCCATAAAACTGATAACTGGCTCCCTGACAGACACTCCCCCCAATTCACCACATTCTGACTGACCACCTAATGTGTGTCAAGTGTTGTACCAACTCTTCCAATGCTCACTCTGAAGGGTTTGAAATTTAGTAGATGAAGCTAAGTGCCCATCAATTGCTCTAGAGTATAGCAGAATGGCTAAAGATGTTTTCATCAGGAAAATGTAAGAAGATAGCATTTGCTTTTAATCTTGGAGAACAGGTGAGATTATTAAACAACCACAGGCTGATTACAAGACAATACAGGTAGAAGTAATCGAATCATTGAGTGAGCAAAGAAGCTAAGGGCAAAAGGCCTGGGCCATATCCAGCCTGGCACATCAGTCTGAATGGAGGGGAGAAGCAATCAGAAAGGACTCTGGTGTCAAACTGACATCTTAAAAGCCAGGCTTAAAAGGGGAAGCATAGAAAAAGTACAGAAAGAAATAATAAAATTATTGCTGCCATTTCGAAAGGAGTCAGGTGGTGGTGTGTAGGCTGAAGAAGGATATTCTTGAGATGAGAGATGAACAGGGAGGGTTTGCCAGCCACCTGTGCTACAGGGGTTGAAGGCCCATACTATATATGAAGGTGTGAACACAGAAAGGGAAACTAATACAACATGTAGGCTGAAAGACAGCCAGGAGCAGTCACTAATGACTCAGAGTTTTCAGGTCTGTGATTGGAGATCGTTCCCTGATTATAGCTTATTATCATCTCAACGACTCAAAAATTCACAAACTTACAGTACTCTGTGGCTAAAAGAGACCTCAGAGGGCCCAGACAGAACTAACTTTACTGGCCAAATTAAACATTTCAAAGACACTTGGCTGATTAGCAGCTTGGCTCAGGCAAGGAAGTCAGGCCTCCTTATTTACCATCAAACCGACCGCCAGTCCCTGGTAATCACATCAACACTCTTTTTGGTTATAAGACAATCCAGGAGCAATACGAAAAAAAGTAAATTGCACAATTCATACTGAGCAAAGGCCAGGATAAGGCTGAAGGTTAGCATGAATGAACAAGGAACAATGTCAGAACTGACTTGGATCCACCTCTCTCCAAATATCTGAAGTGTTGGTCTCCAAAATTTTTTGAAAAAGGCTTCCCGAAATAAATGCACAACACTGGCAAATTTTATACATAGATAAATAAATACTGGAACCATCTTTTAGAATTTCCACATAACAGCAGGTTTTCTATTATCTTCCAGAGTTTACTGATGGCTTGAATGCAAAGGCTCAAATTCTCTTTCAGTAGTGGTTCTGAAGTTCAGTGGGGGAAAAGGGCACTGCCGAAAGCCACTTAAGATATTCTCAAAGCAAAATCCTTCCTATTGACTTAATTGCAGCAGAACCACTGAAGCCAGCACTCTGGTTATTTCTTTGACCCAGTTTGAATGTCTTCCAATTGTATCAAACAGTTGCTGAGTGGAGTGGATTCTGAGCGCTATTATTTCTTTATCTGAAAGCTTACATATCTTAATTCTTCTATAAAAGCACTTCTTCCTTTTGAGAGCTCCATTCCCATCCCTAGAGCTTTAAGGAATGGCCTGGCAAAAAGTCTTCCAATGTTGGAATGTGATTGTTTCTTGTGCACTTCACTAAACCCTTTCAAGATAAGAGCTTGGCCCATCTTCACACAAAAAGAAAACAATATACAACTTGGCTAAGGAGCCATGCATTGCCTGGTGATCAGCAATCCAAGATGGCTGACGATCAGACAGGTAATTTGCCTTATTCAGTTGAAATGCCAGTTCCCCTCCCTTGTTGAAGAGGATCTGAGTACAGATAAAAACAATGGGAAATAAGATTAGGGGAGAAGCAGAAAAATAGAAGAAGCCCAATATCCCAGGACCTTCTTTTTACACTTCCTGCAAAACACCCTCTACTGCCTGACTGGATAACACATCCTGACTGTAAGCTGCCATCCACTGGAATCCTCCTGAAAGCCATTAAATCACCACAGCAGCCCCCTATGCTATGTTGCTCTCAGGCAAAGGACAGGACGTAAGGCGTTAAAATCATGGTGTGGGTGGAATACAAAATTCCTCAGTCCCTCCAAGAACTCATAAACCACAAGGAAAAGTTCCAGATTCCAAGGCCATAAACTTGACAATGTTTCTAGTATTAGCTACAAACTACTGGAATTCCTGAGAACTGAATACACTGGATGGTTGCCTGCCTGTTAGGTTTTTTTTGTTGTTGTTTTTTTAAATCTACTGCCAGGGAAGTCCCGGGCCTGGCAAACAAAAGTGACAATTGCTCAATCCCTAGGGGATCTCCTGTTCCTGTGTAACTCTGCCCAAGTGAAGTATAAGGTATAAACGGCAGTGTCCAGCAGAGATCCTTCCCACTGTGGTCCTTAGGAAAGGCTGTGGAGACAAAGGACATTTTCCTGTTAGGCAGACCCTGAGGCAGCCAGACTCACTGACTGAATGCTCCATTCTGCTGCCAGAGCAGAAGACAACTGCATTACCTGGCCAGCAGGTGATGTCCTGGGGCCCCTGACTACTACAGCATATTTTATCTCCCCTTCTTTTCTAAATGAGAGTGTTTATTGTGGTTATCCAGTTTTCCCTTCAGTGGTTAAACTTTCCATCTGGTCCCAGATTGCTAAATCAATCCTAAAAAGCACATCTGGATTTGATCAAGAAGAACATACCATCTCCAGGATGCCTGCTGTTGGTTGCTGGATGTAGTAACTAGCCTTTCAACTGTCTTTCTCTAGGGCTCCAGTTTTTATCATATGTAGGATGGTTCCATTTTGTGAATGGAGGACATTTTCCCTAATACAGCAAACCTTGACTTGTGGGCTGGTTGAAACTTGGGTTGTCAATGGAAGGCTCAGTTTCATCTACCCAGCCTTCAAAGTCTCTGTCCTATACACAGGCAGATCTCAGTGTTCTTAGAGAGACACCGGCCCAGGATTTCTCCATTAACCCCATATAGGAAAGGATATTGTGATGATCCTTCCAGAACTCTGTAAGGCTTAAATCTATATTTGAGATCATTCAGAAACAAAAGCAGCTTGTATCTGGGTCATAACTCAAGACTTTGGTAGCAAATTAAAACTAAAATTCTAGTCATAACCAAGTTGTTTGTAAGTCAGGCCAGTTGCAACTCAAGGGTTCACGGTAGTACAATGATGTATCTCTTAACAAAAGAGACACATTCTGAGAAATGTGTCACAGGTAATTTTGTCATCGTGTAATCATAGAAAATGCATAAGTAGCTGGCTACAACATCCCTCAGTGATACGATCTTACGGGACCATTGTGATATATATGGTCCATCATTAACTGAAATGTCATTATACAGCATGTGACTGCTACACACTACACAGCCAAACAGAAAAAGGCAGTAGGCTGATACAGCTCTTGCTTTGGTGTGTAAACATGTTTTTCTGTGCCCTTTTCTTAAAAATTTTTTTTCGTACTGGGAATCAAACATAGTTTGATTCATAGTTCCCCATCTCCTATGAACAGTGACTCCTCCACATCCTTAACCTAGGAAAAAAGATTCTATTCCTATATTTAAAAAAAAAAAAAAAAAAACACTTTCTGCCCCCACTAAAGTTGTTCATCCAGGGAAGCTGAAGCCCAAATCTCATCAGTGCATGACCTATAGTAGAAAAGAAATGAGGCCACTTCACAAAGCAAACAGAGACAAGAGGCAGACAGAAAGAGAAAGCCCAGTCACAGTGCTGAGATCCAAGTCCCAGTTCCTGGAGGCCTGGCAGTACTGGATCTGTACAATCCTGTAAGTCCCCTCATGCTTTTCAACTATGACTTGTAGCTTAAGACAGTATGAGTTGGGTTTCCATCACCTGTGACAATTTAAAAAGAGATTCAACATAAACTTGCTGCTGCAGTGTACAAGGAAAAAATAAGCACAGGATTCATAGATGGAAAATAGCTTTACCTTTCACCTGGGCCAAAACTGCACAGGAGAATCTTCTCACCTGTAAAAAAAAATAGCAGCACATTAGCTGGCACTTTGTGTCCACTTAAAGAATATAACTCGGAGGCCAAGCCCTCTGGGACTCAAATTTGGACATCTTAATTTGAATAAAAAGATCTTTAAAGTCCCATCCAGCTCTCATTGCTTACAATTCACCCATATATCCCCAGTGTTCAAGGGTCTAGCATGGGTAACAGGTACAGAAATGACCCTAGAGACCCCTTCCATGGGTTTCCAGGAGATCTCAGAAAGCACACATCATGGGTAAACAGAATACCAAGAGTTTCATTCTCCATTGCCAATTCTGAGCAACTGGCACTGATGACCTGGAGAGCTATGGTGAAAAAGATTCCGAGGTGACATCTAGGATCAGGAAGACATAGTGAAGCACATACAGGCAACTTTATGAGAAGTTCTGATACACAATATTTCACCTGTCTGGATGACACTTGGCAACCTGTTACCTAAAATGCATCCACAAACCAGGATGAAAGCAAGAGAAATATGCATGAAAAAAGAAGCCCACAAGCTATCAGACTGGAACGTCTTCTCTTCTCCCCAATCATTATTATATGTACGCTTGTCAATCAGAACTGCAGAGATTATACTATGTATAAAATTCAGTGCAAAATTCCTCAGAGGAAGCTGAATAGTGGAAATCTGAGAAAGATCCTGCCAACCTCATTAAGAGATTCTCTTTCAAGTGACAAACTTGGGCATTTCGATTTCATTTTATTAAAAGTATTTCTTAAATATATTTAAGCTGAAAAGTTCTGGGAAAAGCTTAAAATAGTCATACAGTTTTAGATGTGATTAAATTTTGCCTTGAGGCTAAATACAGAGATTAGGAATGGAGTGAAGGATGTATTTCAAGGCATTGGAGAAGCAACCTCAAATTGCAAGGTGGTTACTAGGGAACTGAATATATTAAAGAGGAGAAATAGTCGGGAGCCCAATGAAGAAGAAGTTCACTAAACTGAAGTGTCTTGATCAAATGTGCCTTTTACAAAACTCACCCTGACAACAGCATAGAGCAAGGAAATGGCAGAAATAAGAGGCAGATGGGCTGGAAAACTGATGTTCAGCTGGGTGTGGTGGCGTGTACTGTAATCCTAGCAATCAGGAGGCTGAGGCCGAAGTTCAAGGCCAGTTTGGGCTTCAAAGTAAGTGGAAGGCCGACCTGAACTGCCGAGCAAGGCCCTGCTTCAAAAAGAGAGAGAGAGAGAGAGAGAGAGAGAGAGAGAGAGAGAGAGAGAGAGAGAGAAAGAAAAAGAGTAAGAAAGAAAGAAAAAGAAAAAAAAACTGATGTTTAGAGAAGAGGTGTCTGAGCAATGCTGGTGAAAAATACAAATAAAAGAAAGCATATGTTAAGTAGCATTAAAAAAGTGATAAAACTGATATGATTTGATGATGAACTGGACAAGAAGCTAAGAAAGAGGGAGGAGACAAGAATTACTCCCAGCTTTCTCTCTTAGCTTCTGGAAGCCTAGTAACGCTACTTATTAGGACAAATACACAGAAGGGAAAACAAAATAGGGGAGTTGAAAGGCTTATGCTTCTTAATTTCAAAACATACTATAAATCTACAGTAATCAAAACAATGTTGCTAGAGGCACTGGTGTACACCTGTAATTCCAGCTATTTGAGATGCTGATGCAGGAAGATTATGAGTTCAATGCCAGTTTAAGCATGTAGCAAGACTTTATTACATGCAGAGCTGGCATAAAGACAGACACGTAAATCAATGAAATATAATACAGAGCCCAGAAATAAATGCTTGCATTCAATGAGAAAAAGTCTTTATAGGAAGTGGTGCTGGGAAAACTGGATATTTAAATATTTTTTAAAATTGAATTCTTCCCTAACACCATGTATAAAAATAAATTCAAAATGAATCAAACACCTAAAAGTAAAACTTAAAACTGTAAAACTCTTTAAGAAAAATATAAAGGAAATTTTTCATGAAATTGGATTTGTCAGTGATTTCTTGAATATAACTACAATGGCACAGGTAGCAAAAGGAAAAAGAGACAAATTGTACTTCACCAAAACTAAAAACCTTTGTGCATTAAAGAACAGTATCAGTAAAAAAAAAATGCAACTCACAGAATGGAAGAAAATATTTGCAAATTTCGAATCTTACTAGGGGTTACTATTCAGGATATACAGAGAACTCCTAAAAATCAATGACAAGAAAACAAACAATTCAGTTTAAAAATGAGTAAAGGATTTGCAAAAGTATTTCACCAAAGAAAATAAACAAATGGCCAAAAAGCACATGAAAAGATGCTTGACATCACTAGTCATTAAGGAAATGCAAACCAAAACTACAATGAGATGCCACCTCCCACCTATTACGATAGCTGTTATTTTAAAGTCCACGGTAAAGTTCTGGGCTTTAACTTTCCAATTCTTAATCCTTACAATATAGTCACAAGGCATTACCAAGCCTCTTAGCTACTTAGACATAATCTTAAAAGTAATCACTGGTTTAATTCAAGCATGTCAACAGTACATTAAACCTGTGTCCTGTGCAGAATCTAATAATGTCTGCTTTAAACACACGATACACCTCACAAATGAGAAGGGTTCATACTTTTTCCTCAAATGTATCAATCAGGAGATGTTTATTACTATTAAGTTTTCTAACTTCCATTTACCAACCCATATAAATTTACACTAAGCTTGGACCTCTCCCAGGTTAACCATCACAAAGTTCTCCCAGAAGATTTTTCTATCCAGATTGTCTGATGTGATTTTAGCCACATCCGCTTGTCCAGCTCATTAGATTTATCTAATGAATACTGATGTCTAGGTCTCATGAAAGAACCAACACTTGAAAAACACAGTCTTTCTGAAGACAAAGGAAGGAAGAATGAGGCCTATGACAGGGCCAAAGAAGTGGGCTCACCTGCCCTTCCCTTTGCTGCCCAAGCGAATGAGGAGAGGCAGCAGTCTGGGAAAGGTACAGGGAAGCTGACGGAAGGAATTATCAAGACGTTCCTTTCTTCAAAAACAAAATAAAACAAAACAAGTTGTTCCCTTTCAGCACAGGATGCAGCAGTGGAACAGAATGAGGGCCTTTGTGAAGTTTAAAAAGAACCAAAACCCTATCGGTTCAAATGCAGATCCATCAAGTTCACCCAGGATGTAAAGGTTTCATCTACCCATTCTTTAAAATGCAAAGCATTCGACTGAAGAGTTAGGAATACATTCCAATGGCTACTACATGCAGTGTTCATCTCAAATACTAGGAAAACATGTTTGAACATTTAAATTTTATATGCAGAAGAAAATACCAAGTTCACAAGAACACTTAAAGAACTATACCTTATTCCATTCACTTGTGATTCGTAATACAATATGGTAATCATTCCCTGTTTTCAAGGGTGCATTATAGTATTTCCCATAGTATAGCCTATCTCCAATAGATATCTCCATGGTATCGTCTGTGACATCTTTGGCCAGTAGTTCTGCTGCCACATATCCAGCAGTATCAGAGGCATTGCTAAAGAATGAGGCAGCCCCTTCATAATCACAAGAAAAAATGCTTTGGAGGTCCAGTGGAAGCACCAACACTTGATATGAACTGGAAGGAAAAAGAGAAATGTCTCATCAGACCTTCACATGGAGGATTCATTCACTCGTTCATTTATTCTTATTTACTGAGCTCTAATCATGCTATAAACAGCTTTCAAAAGCACTGGAGACCCAAAACTGGACAACAAAATGAACTGGCCCATTTGGGATTTACCATCTGACAGCCCAACAGTCACAAAAGTCCAAATCAACCCATGAAGCCAATGCCAAATGACATTGATAAGTGATTCTCCAAGTTCTAACAACAGAGTTACCTCCTTGGCTTAGAGAAGTTGTTGCATGTATTGCTGCCCTGTGTGGTTGTCATATGGTTGATCTAATCAGTGATTTTCTCATGAGGAAGCAAAGCCAAGCAGTGGAAAGGTTTTAGCAGTCACATGGAGCCAACTGCCTATAATAGTTAATGTACTAACTCTGAAAAAGTCTCCAGACAGTCATGTGGCAATCTGAAACAGACTCTTGTGATTTATATTCCCTGCAGTTCATAGTCTGACACCAAAGTTCATGTGAAATAAACAAGAAGCCAGGGATGCAGAGTCACCATGAGTTAATCTAGGCTGACGAGATTTTAAAATAGCCAGAAAAGCAAAATGATATGTGTATATTGTGAGTGTTCCCTGAATGTAAGCATCAGGTGTCACCTTGTTGAGTATTTTATTATTATTTATTTCATCAAACAGCCTGCCAGTGAAAGGACATGTAAGAATGCAAGTACACTGAGAATGAGTCATGCCTGCCTCTCCAGTCCCATCAATTCAGTCTTATCTCCTGCCTCTGGTATAGTAAATATTTGATCCTCTGTTATCTCTAGCTTACTTGATGACAAAGTTTGAATTACTTACTCTTGTGTATTTTTAAATCCTCACACATTTCTTTGACTATGATTATCCCCTGGTTAAACACTCAGTAAAGAGGGAAAGCTGGCATGAACACCAAATACGATTAATTTGCAAAACTCCTTAAGCCACATAATACTCTTTCACCACCAAATCTACACTTCCTGGTCTACATTCCTAATGCCCGGTCTCCTGCTTCCTATAAATTCATGAATCACTAGGTTTAAATAAAGGGAAACCTCGCCTATAGTAGGTGTTGTATTTAGAAAAACTCCAGCCACCTAGCAGGCTCCCAAACATCCTAAGTACCCTGAGGGCCCTGATTTCCATATACCCTGGCTCACTTTCAGTAAAGGGATTTCTACAAGAGACAAAGTAACATCATCAGGGCAGTAAGTGGTCACCACCAGTAAACTATTACTCCTACAGGGAGCACCTGTAACAAAAACTTTCCCCAGCTTTAGAAGACAGCCTCGTGAGCCATGGTCTAGCACGAGAGTAGCAGCTCCATGGTGTGCATAAACACAGTTTTACATTGCTCTCATATTTCCGTGTATGGGAGTGGGGGTTATGCACAAGTTCAAGGCTCAGTTTTACCCATTTGGCACTGTACATTGCTCCCTAGAGGTGTTATTCTCAAGAGCACAAAGCAGCTCCTCATTACATAAAATTTCCCAGGTCCGTCTCACAACTCCTGAATCAACTCTCCAGGAGTAGAGATGGGAATGTGTATTGCTGGTAAAACAACCCAGTGATCTCTATTAACTGGCAAGGGAGGGAGGCACTAGGATTCAAGGAGCCAGGCTGAATCATCTGCCTAAGATCAACAAGCTCAGGAAGAAAAACTGGGTGCCTGGTCCTTGCTCCACAGTGTGGCCCAAGCCACTGCCCCTAAAGCTGTCACAGCTCACATCGGGTAGTCAGGCTGAGGAAATCACTTCACTTTGCTGGTCACGAGGGAGGCCCGATGACATAAGGGAAGCTTCGCAGCAGTTTGGAACCTGACTGTTCCAGAAAGGAGTTCTTCCTCTTTCAAAGCACCGCCCTCTCCTCATGATTCACAGATCTCTACTTTCTGTTTTGGAGGAACTGGCTGACACACAACCACAAAGATAGACTGTCATTTGGCTTTTCTTTGTGCTTTACGTAATCATTTGGCTTAAGTATCACATTTGCTCTTGTACATTCTCTCAGGCAGAGATGTCACAACCTCTCTCCTCTTACAGCAACAGAATTACAATGCCTTCCAGTAATCTGTCAGGAATCAAGAAACAGAGCCCCTGAAGCAAGGTCTACCACTGGACCTAAACTAATAGGAAAGGAGGGAGACCCAAGTGTTATGACAGACACATAGGTTTTCTTTTTCATAATTTTATAATATCTCATATTTATTTTACATGGAATGCACTAAGAGATCACTACAGTCCAGAGAGATATAAAGTCATGTAGGTCAAGCTATGCACACTGTCATCTCCTTGACCTGGAAATGAGGGCAAGTTGTTCCTCTCTCCAGGCCAGCCTTTATCTTCCTGTTTTTAAAAAAGAAATGGATGCTACCTTTGTAAACCCACAATGGCCTTTGTAAATAAATGCAAAATTGGGGGCTGGGGGTTTAGCTTAGCAGCATGCAAGCAGGCCGTCGTGAGTTCGATCCCCGGTACCGATAAAAATGAAAAAGACAAAAAAAAAAAAAAAAAAAATGCAAAATTGGACACAATGCAGTCCTCCAGCAGACTAATCCCATCTGTCCTAATACCATCTGGAATCCCAGCAGCAGTCACTAACTACATAGTACATTGCCCATAGCTCAGGAGGCAAATGGACAGAAAGAATTATTCACACGACCTTTTCAGAAACCATTACACACACCACCAGGATCTGCCTCCTGTAAAGAGAAACACATTCTTTCACCATAAATGAAATGATGCTCTCACCGGGCCACCTAAAGGATACACTAAGTGTGACCACACAGAACAACACCTGACATTGTCAACTATGTTTGTCAGTGCTCAAAGAAACAGATTTAATTTCTCGAGCTAAACTTCCTAAATTCCTGTCTCTGGTCCCTTAGAAAGTCTCTTTCTTCCCTTGGAAGAATATCGTTGGGTTTAAAGACCCAGACTGTAGTCAAGCAAATAAAAAAAAGAGGTCCTGCTTCATTGTCCCAAATATTCAGGTGCAGCCACCCACATGTAAGTGTTCTCACCCACACCAAAGTTTCCAACAGCCTACGGAAATCACTGGACAACGACTGAGAGAGGACAGCTCCTGACCTGATAGGTCCACCTCTCTCCTTTGCTTTCCTCAGGGTGAGGTGTGGTAGACGTCCTCTCTGCACAGTGAAGGATTCTACTTCTGGAACAGGAGGCTCTGAAAATATTAAAAAGAAGAAAAGAAGCAGTATGATCAGAAAAAGTAAAAAGTGCAAAAAACTGGTCTTGGTGGAGGCCATTAAAATTTTAATATAAAAAATAATAAGCATATTTTGATACAACCTACAACACGGATAAACCTTGAGCATGATTATACTATGTGAAATAACCAGGCCAAAAAACATTATCTGACTCCACTTTAGTAAGTATCTAACATAGGTCAATTCATAGAATCAGTAGTACAGTATATTAGAGGCTGCCAGGGATTCAGGGTGTAGAAGAGGAAATCCATTGATTAATGATCAAAAGTTCTGTTTAGGGTGACGAAAAAGATTTAGAAATAGACAGTGGTGATGGCTGCATGACACTGTAAATGTGCTTAATGCTGATTAACTGAATTACATACTTTAAAACAGTTAAAATGGTGTATTTCATCACAGCGAGAGGAGACAAGCATGCCCCAGCACTGACAGGCACAGATGCTGCAGGCTTGACAGTCTGCAGAGCTTCTGACTTGGTAACTGTGATGATTTAGCTATGGTTTATGTGCATACCCCAAAGGTTCATGTGCAGAGCCCACAGTAGCAATGAGAGGTGGTAGAACTTTTAAGAGGCATGGCTTAGTGGAAGCTAACTGGGTCACTGGGAGTGTCCTAAGAACAAGACTAGACTCACCTCACCTCTGCTTTTTGTCTCACCATGTGGCCTTTTCCACATGCACTCCATTATGATACCATCTGCCACACGGCTCCTGCCAGCGGCCAAACTGATGGGACAGTCTGATCGTAGGAAACTGTCAGGCTTCAAAACTAAGCTAAATAAATCACCCTTTTTTAAAAAATAAAGTATGCAGGCTTGGGTATTTTGTCATAACAAAAACAGACTCATAGTGGAGAAGACCAGCATATCAGTTAACATTCCCTGTTCTTATTTTGTCCTCCTTTAAAACAGATTTCCCAAACAGGTCTTTGATTGGGAAGAAAATACTGTACACAGACTGGCTAACACCAGTGTTCCAACATCTCATTAAAAGTTCCAATCAGGCTGTCTGTGCACCAGCCACCAGTCTGCCCTATGAGTAGCACAGTGAAGATGTACCAACCACTAACCATACACACTAGATGTGTCCTGCATTTGCCTCACATCATTTAATCCCCACAATGCTGCCAAGGGGATGTCACTTATGGAAACAATCATTTTCTCCCTCTCTTGGTGTTCCTACCTTGACCCATGTGACAGAAATTTCTTTTCTCTCCAAAATATTAGGAAAAGACGCCCTCATCTGTCAGTCTGTCCATATGATTTGTGGGGAGAACTACAGTTTGACTGTTGTTCCCATGTGTCCCCAAATTTTTTTCTTTTTTTATGGGGTGGAACTACCCGGAACACAGGACAGATGTTTCCACTTCCTGTTCTCATTGTCCATACATTAAGCAAACCCAAGTCAAGGCCAAATCTGAAGCCAGGTATACGTTTTCCCAATAGACTCACCATTCCCACAGGTGGCGTGCAGGTTGTGAAGTGGGGGGAAATTCCAGGAAGCTTTATTTTGGCTTCAGGCCCACACCAGCTTCACCAGCAACAAAACTGACAACTGGATTCCTATCTCATGTTTGTTTATATGTTTTTATTCTTCCTTAGACTCTGAGGTGAAATAATTATGATTAATACTTTTGAAAATTTAATTTTACAGTTAAGGAAACTGACTCATGGAGAGACTAGCTACTTGCCCAACAGCACACAGAATACTATGGAGTGAGGATTTGAACCTGTTCTCTGTTTTGTCTCTTTCTCGTTGGCCTTGGGGTTTTCTGAGTGCTTGCCTCCACCAAACTGATCTTCATTACCTTTGAGTAAACTAATAAAATCCACTTCTAATACACTGAATCTGCAAAGACTTTACCAAAAATCCAACCCAGGAAAATAATCCAATGGTGCAGATACTGCAGAATCAGAGATCTACCCAGTGTGGCTCACATCAGTATCGGGACCACAGTGAAGCAAAAATAACTATTACAACATAGTTGTTAGGACCACAGGTTTGTTAGTATCCTGCTTCTGCCATTTGCTTCCAGCTGCCTCATCTCTAAAATAGGAATAATAATAATAATAATCCTCACCTTGTAGGCTGGTGAAGGGATTACGGTGTCCATTAATAATAATTAAAAATAACAGGCAATAGGTCAATATACACAGAAAAAACAGAGCCTGAAGTATAGCACTGCATGTCAGTCATCTTTATAATGCATCTGAGCTTCATCAATTGGTTGTCAATTCTATGCTAGAACTCTGCCTCTTCTGGTTCATCAAGTCCTCACAGCAGCTTTATGAAGCAATCATCTTTATTTGATCAGTAAGGAAGCAGTGGCTCAGACCAGTTCAGTCACACCACTAATTACAAATGAGTCAGAGGGGGACCCCAGGTAATTTGACCCCACAGTCAACATTACAGCACCGATACCTGGGTCAATACACTTGGGTTCACCTTGCCTGAGACTTCATGATGGCCTGAAAGTATAAAATCTGGACCCACAAATCCTGAAGCAATGAAGGGACCCATCCCCTTCCCAGCCTGAGGTTATAAAGAACAGAAGTTGAGGTGCTCGGAGTACCTAATACCAAGCTCTGTTAATTAGCAGCTGTTAAACAGAACGGATGAGTAGAGATAGAAGTCAGGAATGACCCCAGGAATGGAGGTTGTAGCAATACGTTTAGTGCTTTTCTCACTCTAATGGAAACATCATTCAGGGTGCTATGAACAGTGTCAGTCTCTGTAACACAGCAAAGCAATCCCAGGTAGGACAAGGGGTATAGAGCATCTGTGTCCTTAAATCAGCGTTGGAGAGAGCTTGCTGGACAGATGGACAAAGGGCTGAAAGGGACCACAGTCAGCTGTAAGCCTATACAACTGCAAAACTTCCAGAAGATGGGGTACGTTGTACCAGACATTGTCCAAGTCTGTATATGTCACCTTTTACATATTATTTGCTTTATGTATTGGTTTGTGTTCTCCGTGTACTTTTGTTCTGTGAGGAGTACCTTCGTTCCTTCCCATATGGTCCGTATGAAGCTCTTACAGGGCTCCAACACTCCTCTGGCCTAAGCCCTCATGATCACAGATCATCATGCTCCCATTATACACATGCTCAAGAAGAATTCTAATTCTAGGACATTAGAAGACCTTGTTCTTCCTCTTGGAGGATGGCTATAGGGACCAAGTAAGCCAAGAGTGCAATGCCCATCCTCCCATTTCTGTGTGAACAAGCCTAGAAGAGGGCAGCACAGCAGACACAGAGAGAAAGACAGAGACGGACAGACAGACAGACAGAGAAACAGACAGAGAGAGAATGAGGATACAGAGAGTGCAACAGGGCGGAAGGACCATCTGAGGGTGAATCTCGCCATGCTCCAAGCAAGATCCATTGCTGGTCTTTCCAGTTCTATAGTCCAACAAATTCCACACACTTAAGCTGTTTTGAGCTAAATTTCTGTCATCTGCAACCCCAAAATCCCTGACTAATTATAGAATGCATCTAGCACCCTGATATTTTGCTGAAGAGCAGAAAACACAGCTGTGTGCCTGAGGAAATGCTGGCACTGGGCCAAGTGGAAGCAATTCCTGGGCATCTGCACAAGAACTGCCTAGCCCAGGGTCTAACTCAGGTCATTTTCCTGTTGTCCTTGCTGTGGGTACCACCTGAGGTTTGGAGATATGCCTGGGATTGGCCACCTCTTTTTCAGGGACTACGACTGCATCAACTCAGTAGATGACAGAAAAGGGGGACATGGAGGGAAAGAGAAAAACAAAAATACACAGATAAAAATGCCTTCCTGCTACCACCCATGCCCCCATGCCTAAGCCCTGCCACAGTGAAATTAAGGTCCAGGAGACTGAGGTAGACACACTGGATTAATTAGATTAGATTAGATTAGATTAGATTAGATTAGATTACAAAAGAGCTCCAAGGTAGAATCCCTCAATCACAATACACAATTAAAAAAAATTAAGACTGCCTGGGTCTTTGTAGCATTAAAAGTTCTATGCCATGTGTTCTGCCTATATCTGCACTCAGCATAGTCTTTTCAGTCACCTCTATGCTCCAGGCTCTGTGCTGGGCAGGGGGAGATAAGCCAGGGGGCAACTGGTTTCTAGGAGCTTGACAACCTAATAGTGAAAGTAGTTTTGTAAATAGGAGGTGCTCAGAGCTATGATACAGTTATAGAGTGTTCTGAGGTGCAGAGAGGAACACCAGTCCAGGACAGTAGGCTAAAGCCATCAAATACAAGCATGTGCAGGTATTTGCAGAGGAACCACAGGTAATTCAGAACTTCGAGGCAGAGTTCTAGCAGTGCAAAGCAGATAATAAGGTTAGAGGGGTAGATATGTGTGTCCAGGAAATAATCAGGAGCCATTTGAAGATTTTTAGCAGATTTGTTTCAGAAATATAATTTATAGAACTGATTGGAAGAGGAACGTTGAAAGGCAAAAAGCAGGGGCTGTCCAATAATATACATCAGAGTGTCTGAGGGACAGAATGTAGTGGGAGGAAGCCACTGAAACAGTGACCACATCTTTTGTCAAGTTGGGAGGAAAATTTGGAAGCAACTCACTTTGGACCTGCTTGAGAAGGAAGTGCACATGGAACTAATGCAGAAAATAGCAATATGTCTAGGATCCAGGTCTAGGACCCAGGATCAAACTCTGGAGAAGATACACAGTTTGCTCATGAGGAGAGGTGGACATGGTTCCCAAGGGGACCAGATAAAATGATAGGGGTAAAGAGAGATGGTGAGAAAACCAGGCACACGAGGAAGAGAACCCAACAGCTGCTATGAAAGTACTAAATCTAAAATGTCTTGGTCTAGGGATATAGCTCAGTGGTAGAGCCTAGCACACCCAAGACCCTGAGTTCAGTCCCCAACTCTGCAAATCAATTAACCAAACAGTTATTCAATCTAGAATTTCTTCCGAAGTCATAGAGCCACGGTGACACAAAC